ATCGTTCTGTGCAAGAAACTGAACAGTATTTATATAGTTTTTTACCTCTGATGCACTGTAATGTCGGAACTGTCCTGACTCTCAAAGCCGTGATTCCCGTTCACTTCCATTATAAGACTGACAGACTGCAACGGTTTGTGTTAAAAATCTTCGTTTGTGTTCTACTGAAGAAACAAAGTCACCTACATCTTGGATGCCCTGGGGGTAAGCAGATAAACATCACATTTTCATTTTTTTGGTGAACTATCCCTTTAAAGGCAAGGTGAGGCTACAAATATGATTTTCTTATTCTTCTAATTGAGATCAAGTTCAAGTGGAAATGTATTACAGTGTCCTCTTGTCTTGAGCATTAGCCCCTCTAGTGGGTGCAAATAGAATGACACTTTCAGGCCAAAAATGTTTAATCCCTGCTTTCTTTGACTGTAAATTCTCATAAAGTGAACCTAGTAAAACAGCAGTTTTATGTAAAGAAATTTTATATTGTTAATATAATATTTGGGGTCAGTTTATGTATTACTTTTATATCAGGCACATACAGAATGATTGTGGCCAGAAGAAAATGCATAAATTATGTTTCTATTTATTGACTTGGTTCGATGCCTAGGGGTCAAAAGTTAGGGGAATACCAGGAGGTCACAAGCACAGTGACTTTGCTGAATAAAATGTCAGATGAGAGGAAATTTTTATATTTGCAAACTGCTGTTTGTGAGGGAGGCTGTGTCATCTTGTGATCTGAATGTCCGATTTAGGATCAAGAGGAATTTACTTGCCATTACTCACTGGCAATACTACAGTATTTGGATCTGTAAGCTACATTTAAACATGCATTGAAAGAATTATTACTAAAGATATTTTATATAATGCAGTAATAAACCAAGCATTTTTTTTTTAAAAGAAAGAAAGAAAAGCATGCACACTTTTCAAGCAAAGTTTTTTAGATTTTAAATTATAAAACAATATTTGTGATGTGTTGAACTATTTCAAGAAAATCTGAAGAGAAATGAATTCAGACGTCCACTAAAATAATCAACATTTAAAACCTGACAACACTTAAAAGACTCACAACAGTTATAATTAATAAAATGGCTCAGAAAAGTGAAATTATTTCTGAGAAAGGTCTAAAATGTGTTATATGTAATGCAATTATATTCTGACATCGTTATAAGTGTTACTTAGGTGTCCAAAAACTTAGACTTTTTGTTGTTGTTATTAAGAACAAGGTTATTAATTATATATATATATATATATAATTAATAACCTTGTTCCCTTTACACACTAAGTTTTATTAAAAATGTGATAAAATGTACTATTGGCTTATGATCTTGGTCTTCAAGATCTTCCAAATGAACTCCTAATGTTTTCCATTTCTGCAATTTATGCTTGGTGGATGCTTTATTATCAAATTTACTTTTGAATATATTACAAATGATTCATAAACTTAGACAAAAAGTGTTTTTGTTTTGTAGGTGACAATGTGAAAGTGACAAAAACAGATGAAAGTACTTTCAAGCACTATAATAGATGTCATGCACCAGCGGTCCAGTAGAGAATGAGGGAAGGTTTCGCCTCTTTTCTTTGAATCGCTCTGGCACAAGGGCGACTGTGTTACTGGCAAGCATTGTTGGCACTCTCTGTCCCAGACAAATGGAAGCAATTCAAGACATCATTTAGAGGAGGAGGAACTCAAAGGTTCCTCAAGAGACCATTAAAACATGTCAGCAGAACATCCTGCATTAGATTCCCACAGTCAAAACGAATTCAAGGTAAATCATGTTTTGAAAGGCACATGAAATTGCTTCTATTGTATTTCTGTATTTATGGAGACTCATCCCTCATGTTTGCATGGGGCTGTTTATAACTGTATTTATAACAGTCGTTTGTTTTGTTCTCTGGTGTAGCACAAAGACTTTTCACTGGAATTCAGCTGGAATTGATTTCAAAGGAAGGATTTTGCTCACTTATGGTATTCTAGAAACAATAATTCTCCCATGAAAATCGCTTTGATTCTAGAACTGGGCTGAACTGTTGTCAATCATGCAACACTCATCCATCATTTTTTTCATTAAATGGTTTGCGTTTGGAATCATGTATTTGTTTACTTTCTAGTATTACTTCATTTTGAGACTCTATATGATTCAAGAACATCTTTAAACTTCAAAATGAACTGAGAAGTATAGTGCTTGACCATTACTAAGTGATCCATTCGTAATCGAGAATGAAGGTTTCCAGACCGTCTGAATGGTCACTGTAATATGAGAGATGTTTGAGTCCTCCTCATGAAGTTTAAACAGATAGCCCTGACAAGGCACCTCGCTGGAGGATGTTATGGCTGTGAGGCATCGTTTGGTAATTGCACAACAGAAAAGCAGCCAGATAAATGAATAAAGGATGAATAAGAATGAATACTTGTCTGAGCGAATTCAGGAGATCCCAAAGAGCTTATCTGGTTCATGATTACACATCCTTTGAGACTCATATTGAGTAAATATTCCATATTGTGTGTCAGGATAGATAAAGTTGTTGGCAAATTTAGTATTCCATTAAGTTTAATTTACAATGTATGCAATTATTTGCCATTTGTTTTTGGGTTATTGTTGGTTATTTGGTTTTGTTTTATTTTATTTTGTTTGTGATACCATTGACTACTTAAGGCTGTAACTAGCATACTTCTCTATTTCAGTTTTTCCATGATCTCTTTCATGGTATGGAAGCCCGTTTCCGCCACTCAATAAAAAATAAAAAAAAGGTAATTGCAGTTTTAATCTCACAATTCTGACTTTTTTTCCGTGCAATTGCGAGTTTACATCTTGCAATTTGAGAACTTGCAATTTGGACTTTTTTTCTTGCAAATATGCGTTTGTATCTCGCAATTTTGACTTTTTTTTCAGAATTGAGTGATATAAACTCGCAATTGCGAGAAAAAAACTCAGAAATAGTCAGAATCGTGAGATAACTCGCCATTCTGACTTTTTTCTTGCAAATATGCGTTTGTATCTCGCAATTTTTTACTTTTTTTTTCTCATAATTGAGTGATATAAACTCAAAATTGCGAGAAAAAAAACTGTAGAAAAAAGCTCAGAAATAGTCAGAATCGTGAGATAACTCGCCATTCGGACTTTTTTCTTGCAAATATGCATTTGTATCTCGCAATTTTGACTTTTTTTTTTCTCATAATTGAATGATATAAACTCACAATTGCGAGAAAAAAAAACTGTAGAAAAAAACTCAGAAATAAAGTCAAAATCGTGAGATGACAACTCGCCATTCTGACTTTTTTCTTGCAAATATGCATTTGTATCTCGCAATTTTTACTTTTTTTTTCTCAGAATTGAGCCAATAGCCAATAGCCAAAAATACATTGTATGGGTCAAAATTATTGATTTTTCTTTTATGCCAAAAATCATTAGGATATTAAGTAAAGATCATATTCCGTGAAGATATTTAGTAAATTTCCTACTGTAAATATATTAAAACTTAATTTTTGATTAGTAATATGCAGTGCTAAGAGCTTAATTTGGACAACTTTAAAGGCGATTTTCTCAATTTTCTTTGCACCCTCAGATTCCAGATTTTCAAATAGTTGTATCTCGACCAAATATTGCCCTATCCTAACAAACCATACATCAATGGAAA